CCTCTCAGCGCTGAGCCGTTAATTCACAGACATCCAAAGATGCGCTGAGCGCGTGCACAGCTCATGCAGCTCTCGGATGCGCAGATTTCAATCAATCATGTTTAACTCCTGACGGTGGCGGCGTCGTCGGATGCCACATGGCCGCCGTTGAGACTCGAGGCGTGACAGCTTGTCAAGAAAACAGTTGCAGTTCACTTGTGGTTGCATTTTGCTCATGATCAAGCCGTGATGTGGTACGTTGTTACAGGACGCCTCCCTGGAAAAAAGGCAAGACTTCAACACACCCCCGACTATTCTCATCTCTATGATCTTCAACGAGAACACACAGAGCATGGTGGTTTGTGCGAGGGAGGAAGCCCAGAAGCTCGAAAGCCAGGCAACGTCGTGCTGCGCGCATTCCACTGCAAGAGTGCCACTGCGTGCCCTTTTCACTCTACGTCCAGTTCTTCTGCAGCTGCAAGTTTGGTCTCTGTGTTGATCATGCCGCCACATCTGCAAACTGCCACTGCAATTTTCAGGAGCTCTCGTGCATGCATCGGAGATCTCAGACGGTCAGACGCAGAAGACCCAGTCACCCAACCCCCGCTCAATTTGTATACTCATAGTGAGTACTCTTCCTCCCGAACCTGAGCGGAGAGAGACTGGAGGAGACTGCGCAAAGAGCCAGGGCAAGGCAGTCGGAAGTTCCGAAGCACAGGACAACCGAAGGATTTCTAAGACAGCCATGGCGGATGAGACGTGGCGCCGGGGAGAGGCAGGGGGTTTGTTTGGACTCACCGAAAGCCTTGGAGAGAGGTCTGAGTAATCAGCAAAAGTGTATCCCACACGGTATCCTCGTATTGTCCCTAGAAACTTTATGCGCTATGCCCCACACCGCAGTTCCAATTAGCACAGCCTTTATGTTAAGCGTTTAGGGTCCAAGAGGCTGCGGACTAGCAAAAGCCTTTGGCGTTTCGGGAGGCTCTCTGGCACGAGCATCGCAGCGCCTGGAGGTGAGCCTTTCGTCTTAGGGGCTGCCTAGGGCTTGGGGCAGGAAGCGATGTGGGGTTAAGCCAAGACCAGATGTGCCATATCAGGGGCAACATCTTTCGGTTTCTGTAGGAAGTTGCCCTTCTCTGCAGAACCACAGCATCCGGATGCTTCTTCTCATTTTCTGGGAGGAAGCATGGAGCAGCAAGCATCCGACGGTATGGACACCTTTCTCGGGAAACATCCTTTTGCAAGCTTTTGTAGAGTGGCCTGCTCTTGCCAGGAGGCTTGCTGAGGACCGGGGTTAGGGTCGCACGCAAATTGAGACTGACGGTGACAGGATTCGATCGTTCGCAGGTGCTCCCTTTCCGGGCATGTGGTTGTTGCTGTCTTCGAGGGTTTGAGCACAGACTGTTGGCGGTGGGATGGCTTTCCTGAGACCGACATCCTCAACCTCGATATCCATAATTTTCCTCGCCTTATCATGAAGCCCATGCAGGAGACTAGGGAAAGGGGTTTCAGATGTTTAGACTTGGGTTTAGCGATGTAATCAATCCTCGCCAAAGCTTCAAACCCCCAAACCCTCAACCTTCTAGTCCTATGTCTAACCCTGAAGTTTTGTAGACCCTAGAATTTCAACTCCGGAACCTTCCCCCCAAACCCTAAACCCGTAAAATCCCGAATCCTGACCCCTGGAAGCCCTGAAGCCCAAACTCGAAGCCGCAGGAGAAATCGGGTCGCTGCTTGGCACCGGCCGATGTGACGCCCTCCCTGCCTCTGGAAGGTTCGGGGTTTAGGGTTTAGGGTTTAGGGTTTAGGGCTTTCCTTGCAGTTCACCCGGTGTTGAGCCCTAACCCCATGGGGCTCTCTTGAGGGTTCAGGACTTCGCGTCTGAGGATAAGGATGATCAGGGCTTGGCAACCAAGTGATAATCACACCAACCTCCTGCTTCAGAGGATTATGACACCCCAAAGCCCCTAACAATCAGAGGAGTATGACAATGAGATCACCAACCGCCTTACCACCCGAGGATCCCCACTTACCGAAGCCAGCCTCGCGCCCCCCCCCCCCCCCCCA